AATTGACACAACCTAAGTGTAACCAGGCTCTCAAGCTGTTCAATAATCCTGTGATTCTTTCCTCAACTGGACTTTCCAAAGTATCGTTTTAAACCTTTCCCATTCTCCTTAAGTCTTCAACGCTGCCCAGCCTTCTCAGCAATGTGCTGTCTACTGAGAAGACCAACGGGATCTGTATTGTCTATTCCCCCCATGCTGTGTTGTGACTTCCCCCAAACTGCCCTGCTGTCTCAGGTGAAGCATCTTTCCACCCTTTTATAGGCACTCTTCAACTGCTCCTGTCGTCTCTTCCAGGACTCTGATTCCTGTCTTCCTTACACTTCACTCTCTCCTTTTGCTCTATCTTATCTTTTGCTTTAAAAAAAAAAAAAAAAAAAAGGAGCTGGCCTGATGATGTAGTGGTTAAGTTCACAGGCTCTGCTTTGGTGGCCTGGGGTTCATGGGTTCGCATCCCGGGCATGGCCTACACATCACTTGTCAAGCCATGCTGTGGTGTCATCCCACATACAAAATAGGGGAAGACTGGCACAGATGTTAGCTCAGGGACAATCTTCCTCACCAAAAAAAAACAGACAAAAAAAGCTAGACCTAAGCTCTCTTTCCTTACATGATCTGACTGCTAGAAAGGGGAGTCTGCACTTATTTCTCCACATGTATACCTGCACAATCCCTCTCCTCACCGTGACCTCAGCTATCCTTCTGAAATTCTCAAGCCCTCCCAGTCACCAAATCTAATGGCTCCTCTTGGCCCACATCCTTCTTGATTCTTCTGTGGCACCTCAGACTCAACACAATCAAAACTGAACTTAATATTCCTCTCCTTCCCTGTTCCCACCATTGCTGACTGCTTTCCCACTTCTCCTGGTTAAACCAAAACCTCCTGGCCATCACTGCCCCAATTTAGTTAACAAGTCCCCTTCCTTCCACCACTGTGATGTCTGTATCGCTCAGCTCCTCCCTCTCCATTGTCATGACAGCGTCTCTGTTCAGGCTGCAAGTACTTGTCAAGACAAGTCAACATGTTCACCAGTCTCCCAGCTCCTTTTCCCCTTGCTAAAATACCTTCACGGAGCCTCCATTGTCCAACAAATAAAATTAAAATATTTTATTCGGAGAATTAAGGCCCTCTAAGAACTGGTCCTAGCCTTTATTTCTAGGCATTGTGACCTTCCTCTGTTCCATTTCATTTCATATATTTCACATTTTCTCTGAACTTCGGGAGAATCCATAGTTCCCAGAATTTGCCCTGCGTTTTCTCATCTCCACGCCTGAATCGGGCCAGTCCATCCACTTGTAACGCTCAACATTTTTCTTTACTTATTGAAATCCTTCCCCTCTCCCCAAGATTTGGGAAACAGGCCATCTTTTCCTATCTCCATAGCTCCAAGTTACTCATTCCTCCCCGGAACTTCCATAGTTCAAATACGCTCATCTCTTTCTTACTTAGTCTTATCTCACGTTCTTTTATATTATCGTTACCTGTGTGCTGGCCTCACTGTCCCTATTAGACGTGAAGTTCTTGGAGACAATGATGATAACAATAACTGTAATAACAACCATCATGACAACAAGCTCCTGCCGTATTCCAGCTCTGTGCAGAGCACATAACTTCATCTCAGCAACCCTATTTCATTTTCAGACGTGATTAAGTCATGTGCTCAAGGCCAACACCCAGGAAGAGACAGGGCCAGAAATTGAATTTAGGCTTGTCTGACTTCAAAGGCCATGCTCCTAACTACTACCTGGCATTTCTCACCACACAGAGACTTGACAAAAAAACCACTGAATAAAACATCCTCTCCGTTAAGTCCTAGTAGGCGGGAGAGTTCACTTAGCTAGGTTTCCCAGGGTTGCCAAGCCTGCTTGATCAACACACACGTTTACAGGGAGAAGAAATCCACAGCTTAAACGCTAACTCGTAAAGGATGATTTCAAAAACAGAACAAAGTTTCTATGCCTCAAGACTAAATAGAACCTCAGATGCAAAGTGAGAAAAAAAGCTAACTCACTTGGATTAGGTAATAGCCTGATTTTGTCTTTCCTTGGAACCATCGCTATCAGTAAGGTCACTCCAAAAGCTTTGCTTAGAAAATTTAAACCATCTTTAGAAAGAGCCTCCAAGATTCTAATTTCTGAGGCTCTGACATCAGCCCTGAGGAAACAGGATAATTGTACTCCGCTGACAGAGTCAGGACCAACGTAAACGTGAGGTCCTATTTTACATACGACCAGGGAAATAACGTAAGGCATACATAGGTATCAATGTAAAGAAAAGTGCTGGTTGTTGCTGTCTATACGTAAGCAGCTACGGGCTGTAATCCCCCGAGAGGAATGTCATTATACAGCTCAAATCCCATCACAACAAATCCCGTTACAACAGAGATGTCTGTATAACAAAAACCCTTTCAAGCTTTGGCTGACAGCCCACATACTTCAAGCAATATTTGATGTGAGACTTGGAGCTCACGGTAATGGGAATTGACCTATATTTCCAAAGGTAAGATTTGAATGATTTCATCTGTAACTTCTATCCCATGATACCATAAGTTGGAGTGATGTACAATCTAAACCCATGAGTATAAAAACCATACACAAAGACAGAAACAAAATCAACCCTGCCCTGAAAAGGCAAAATTCCTTCCTTTCACTTGGGGAATTCTTTGGTAAAGGAGAAGGCATCTGACCTAAGTCCTGAAATGGAGCAGACCAAGGCTTGTTTGTGGCCTTATCTCACTGAGAGGCAAGATGGTGTAGCACATGAAGACAGATGGACTGTGCTCAAGTCTCTACTCTGCCACTTGCTAGCTGGGTAAACTGGGCTCCATTTCTTAACTTTTTCTCAGCCTCAGTTTTCTCATCTGTAAAATGTGACTAATACCATCTACTTTCAGGATTTCAGTAAGAACTAAATGAGAGAACATAAGGAAAGCTCCTAACATAGGAGCTGGTACACAGCGTGTGCTCGGAAAAGTTCGTTTACACATCAGGCCTTCCTTCCCCTCCAAGACTCTGGATTTATGCAAACTATTTCAATGAAGTTATTCTAAGACCTAGTGAATGAAGTTATCAAAATGTATATTCTTCAACAGCCTGGTAAAGATATTGCTCAGAGGAACATTGGGAAAAAGAGAGAAATAGGTAGAACTAGGCCATGCACAATACCTACTTGACTGAGAGAAAAGTCTTTTTGGCTAAGGCAAGACGTGTAATCAAAAGCTAAAATGCGAGTAACCAGGCATCGTAAAAATAAATAAGCTCTGATCATTAAGTCAGATGTCATTTTCAAAAATGGTGGAAAACTGAAATTTGGAGGCCTATTTTCCTAGTCAAGGGTGAACTGTGGTTACTGCTCTAAAGCACTAGTTTACTGCCTCTGGCCTAGTTTTCTGTGGGTACCATCCTAGATGGTGGGAGGGTCCTTATTGGCTAACTCAGCTCCAGTCCAGGGCTTTATACTGCCTTTCCCCAGTAGAATACTATGAAAGCTAAGTATTAAAAAATTCTAGTCTTCTCCATTTAGAAAACATGTAAGTAATTAACTCAAGAATATGATTAATAAGCATTCTTAATAGTGCCCTAATCTGGATGTTTTTAATCCTACTGATTTTTAGATATCTAATTTTCTATTTTTCAAATTATGAGAGAATCGGGTTTGTGGTGACAAAATTCTGTATGTATTCTTTTGAAAACACTCCAGTTACACGATATGTTTTGAGATAGAAATGAGAGTCTTATGAACACAATCTGAAGGCACGTCTGTTCACTTTAATAAAATGAGTATTCGCTGGGGGCTTTTAAATTCCTTAAAAGGTTCTAAAAAGTCCTAGCAGATCTCAACAACTATAAGGAACAAGAGATGGCTCAACATTTCTCACAGTCACAGAACATCAGAGTCTTAACAATTACTTAGTCACAGGCCTTCACCTTGACAGTAAGGAAGAGGCTCAGAGAAAAGTATGTAACTAAAGTGTATGTACAAGCCAAAGCAATGAGCTTGCAGGAGCTCTCACGAGAAGCCATAGAGAAATAAAACAAGCCAGACAGAAATCCCAAGGTGCAGACAAAAAGGAACTGTGAGACCCAGAGAAAGATGGAGCCCTGGGTTGAAAGACCAAGAGATGGAGAACAGAGAGAGAACAAAATTACCAAAGCAAGGTTAAAACATCAACGTAGACCAAATGGTTGCAGCAGCAAAGATATTTTAAATTCAGTCTGCACAGAGCTTACAAAGGATGACTCCCATACACAGAAGCTTTAACCTGGCGGAGAGGTTTCCGGCCTCTCTCTGTTTTAGTAATTGCAACCCCCTATCACCCTCAGCTTAAAATGGAGGCAGTAACAACCACCAGACTGTACACTTGAATCTTACCTCTGGTAAGGGCGTAAACCACAAGCATTTTTGAAAGTGTGCTAACTATTTCAGGCCACTAGGGTGCTACTTCCCGCCCCAAAAGGCACATTTCACTTAATGGTCCTCCTCTAGACCCCAAGAACTGATGTCCTTCTTAAAAGTGTACCCTTTATTCCTTGCACCAGTGGTATCACACTGACTGTTTACAAGGCATTTCAGAATGCCCATAGGCTATGGAAAAGTGAAATGCAATTGTAATTACATGGGTAATAATAGGAAGGCAGGGGTAGAAAGAGTTAGCTCCTGAAATGCAAGGCTGAGAAACGCTATTCCTTAGAGAGGCAGTCACTTCTCCTGAGAAGAGCCTGCGCTGCCTAGAAAGTGACCTCAGGAGAGCAATCACGCGCCTGGACAGAGGCGCGGCCGTTCGCCCTCCCTCCGCTCCTCCCTCCCTGGTCCCAGGCCAGCTCGTCCACCTGTCCCGGAGGCAGGCGGGCGGGGGCGCCGGGAGGAGCTGGGCTGGTCGCGCCGGGGCACAGGGGCAGAGGGCTGGCTCCTACTCACAGTCCTCCCTCCCGCGACGCCCAGGGATGCCCACGACTCGGCCCCCTCAATCCCGCCCCAGTCACGGGGTCCCCGCTGTCTGTACCTTTACTCTGGGGAGGGTTCTGACTCCGGTCCCGGAGGACGTTGATCTGGTAGACGGCTCCGTAAGGCTCAAAAAGTTCTTTCAGCTCCTTTTCCGACCAGGACCGGGGGATCTGTCCGACAAACATCTTAATGGCATCTGGGTCTGGTTGGTCTGAGTGATCCAAAGCGCCGTTCATCTTGTTGGCTGTGCCGTTACTGTCAAAAGGGAACCGGGAGCCAGAGTTAGGGCTGCACGGCGAGGGACAGGAAGAAAAAAAATAGAGGGGTGAGGGCGGGGAGGCGGAAGGAGGAGGAAGAGGAGCACGGGGCAAAGTGCCTAATGAGTCGTAGAAATTTGATGAACTAAAACAAAGCACAGGCACCATTAGGTTGCTCCTCGGTGGCGGCAGCGGCGGGCTCTCACTGCAGGCTGCTGTTCAGCATCGGCGCCCGAGCACAGGGCAGCGCCCCGCCGGCTGTCACCCGGGGCGTGGACATCTTGAAACCCAGCTCAGGAGGCAGCTGCAAGTTAAGTGCAGGTCTCGCTCTGCAAGGAAGCCATCAACGCATCCGCAGCGTTATCAGCCCCTCACTGGCTCTCGTGTGGAAAGAAAGGCAGGGCTGGATTTCTGCTGGATTTCCCCCCTCCACCCTCTCCCGTTTTTGGAGGTTTTTGGAAGAGAGGAGAGAGGTGGTAATAATAAAGTCAGATGAAAAGAAAATGAAACACTTGGCAGTCCGTCAGATGACTAATGCAAGATGCTGGTGATGAATTTGCAGAGTGCGCGAGGCATCCATGTGTGCATCAAATTAGTACGTTGTTGCTGCTCAGAATGGAAAGTGCTCCAGCAATGCGGCTCCGTGCAGCCGATTGGCTGCCCACGCTGGAGAAAAGAGCTGGGGCCGGGAGGGGGCTCCCGTTTAAAAAGCACATTGTTTATGGAACCCGGGCACAAAGGGTTTAATTCAGAGAGGCAAAGGCGATCTCAGAATTGCCTGCTTTGTGCCGGAAAAAAAATGCAGCCCCAGAAAGTTGAGTTCCCGCTAAAGGACACTGAATATTTCAAATCTTTCACACTCCATAAATTGCTGTCTGTATATCTGACTTCCAGATGTTGCACTTGAGTTCTAAACAATCACACGTTTGGGAGAGAAAAGAGGAAAGTCTGCTTTTTCTTCTCCTAGCTTCAATAAATATTTGGGGCTGATACAAAGAACAAGACCATAAGCTTTTACATATCAATCTTCCTTAATGCTGTTTTCCAAAACCCTCATTTGGAACAGAGGATGCTTGTTTAGAACCTACCATTCTCATCACCATCATGTAATATGATGATGAAGGTTTTCATTTGTCACTTGGATCTCCCCAATTTAAGCTGCAGTAAATAGTAAAGCAAAACCACATACCCTCTTCATCATCCCCCCTCCTAATGCACTCTAAACCCACCTACTCTGCCAAGTGACAAGGCTGAATGCCCTAAGCAGCATTCATTTGCAGGACTGTGCTCTTCGTTTAGCTTCTCAGCCTGTGAAAATAAAATGCACCTAAACAAGTGGAAACCCGGCAGATATGGTATCTACAGAGCCATGGGGCTGCCCCCCAGCCCAATGGGGCAGGAAGATCATTAAAGGGACACATGGACTAAAACTTTGCTGCAAATGGCAGGTGTCATTTCACTGTAGCTTCAGAGTCATAGTAAGAAGGTATTCAAAGATCTTAAGCAGGGTTCCTTATTTGGTTAAAAGAAACAATCAAAAAATACCAGAGCACCTTAAATTGGCTGTGGACCTACGCTAGCTCTGAGCCCGTGGGGGGAGAAAAAAAAAAGACATTCATGGCTAAAAAACAAACAAAAAAAAACCTACAGAAAGGAGAAATCTTGTATTCAATTTAATCCAGAAAAGAAAATGATGGCAAATATTGTTCACTAGGTCCTGGCTTCAATTTCTACTTCTTCTTATCCCCCCTATTTTACCATTTTATTTTTTATCCTTGAGATAAACAATCAGACTGTCTAACTTGAAGCACTTTCAGAGCTTTTTCTAATCAACCTTATTGTTATAAAAAATGTTCCGCTGAATAAAATATTGAGCACAAAATCTTCTTTCAACAATTTAGGTGTAATGTAATGCTTGTTTATATTAGAGCCCCATTGTTTATCTTGTTCTTATGCACCTATACTTATTTTCAAATCACCCTTTGAGAATTCAATAAACACGTTTATCCCGTGGAGCTGATTTCGGCAGGGTGGAGGTGGTAAAGTCCCACGCAGAACAGAATGTAGCGTTCACAGCTCGTTGAGAGCTGAGAGTGTGGCAAGACTTATTTCTGGGACAGGAAGGACTTGTGGTTACTGCTGTTGACAGTCAGCTAGAATGAAAAGAGGAAGGCATTGCCACAGGTCTCAGCTAACAGCAAACGGAAGTTCAAAGAATGGGGCTATTGCATGTTGCCTGAACAGAGCACAGCTAATAACCACAGAGGAGTTAGGCGACAGTACAGTAGTCCTAATATCTACGCTTAGAATTCTAGAGCAAGCATTGCTTAATGTCTCTCTAAATGAGAGGTCGTTTTTACTTTCTCAGAAAATACACGGCCACTGAGGCGCATAAAGGAAGGGAAACTGAGCAGAGCTTACACCTTACACCTTTGGTCTTTATGTTGGTGAGTACATATTTATAATCCTTCCCCCATCAGGCATCCTTGACAGATGCCCAGAGACCTCTTATCATCCAGAAGCAGAGGGGTGTCAGTGTTCATGGCACGGGCTTTGAATCCTGGCACCACTACTTCCTAACTGTGCCACTCTGGGCCTAGGACTCTTTATCTGTAAAATGGGAACAATCAACTCCATCTCGGAGTCTCATACTTAGTACAGGACGTGGCACAGAGTAAGAGGTTAGTAAGTGTTGGCTATTTCTACTGTTAATCCCTTCTCTGACCTTGTGATGCACAAGTCGTTCCTCGGGCTGAGAGTGAACAGCCCATGGCAAATTTGTAAGGCAGGGCCAAGAGCAAGTCCTACTGCCAAAGAAAAGGCAGCACTAAAAGAAACACACACACACACACACTTCCCTCTTTCTATCTGTGGGAAGGAGGGGAAAAAGCGCTGAGCTTAAGAGTCCCTTAAGACTGCTTCAAGACCTATATTTTCTCAATAATCACATATCGGTGTCTGCATCTCCACAGATTCCCTTCTTCTCCATTCCCACAGATTCACACCAGTGAGGGCCTCTCATTCACACCTACATCCTTTCCCAGCTACTTGCCGTTTTGTCAACAACTGTTCCAAAGGTTTGCATCAAATGCCGAAGGCATGACAATCCCTTCCTTAAGTAAATCCAACAAGGTCTAATTGTTATACAAATCAACAGCAAGAGCACATCTTCCCCATCAAAGCTTCTGTGCCGGATGGGTGGTCCTATCCCACAACAGCCTGGTTAACTGTCTTCTAATCTATGTAAGCTCCTCCTTCTTTGGACTCTCAACTCTCTTCCTGGCTAACGCTCATTTCTAGTGGAGACTTACTGACTTCGTTGGTCCTCATGGGGCTGTAAGCGTTGACACATTTAAGGAAGCCAGAAACTGTGTGTCCAATAGTTAAACCTTCCAGGGTACTTACCAGAGGCCATGGAGAGCCAATGTGCTCTTCACAGAGGAGTAATTACGGGAACAGATACCCCAAATCTAAGCAAGACTCTCAGTGAGATCTATTTACGAGAATTTGATCTCAGGCTTAGAAAATTCGACTAGCTCCCTTCTCTGTACTCCCCAGTCATCCTCAGCACCCACCAGAGTGCAGGAATTAGATTCAAATTCAACAAATATTTACTGAGGGGCTCCTCTTTGCCAGAAAGCTTTGCCAGGTACTTGACATACAATATCACAATAGCTCCAGGAAATTGAAATCATTATCCCCATTTTGGAAAGGAAGCAACTGAGAGTCATGGAGGTAAAGTGACTTTTCCTATGTCACACTCCTAAAGAGAGGTGCCTGCAGAATCTGGACGATGCAAAGGAAGCAAGACATAAAGGCAGACTGTTGTGCCTTAATATTCCATGAACTGGGTTTCTCTAGGGTGATGCTTCCTGTGGACTCAGTGGCCATTTGCAGACGCGAGCACAGACATCTCTGCTGGCACCTCACCTACAAACCGCATCGGGATCCAGAGCACCAATTCCGCTTTTGCTCTTGGCAAAGAGCCACCTATAAGGCTCCTCCAGGACAGATGCCATATGGAATCGGACCACAACTTAGAGAGCACTAAGCCAGCAGGCATTGGTGCTATCAGTCTCAGAGCCAAGACGAAAATATAATGACGTTTGGGGGGAAAAAAAAAATGAGAGTGCTTACTTTTTGCCTTTAGCACAAGCACTGACCTACTTCCCTATTCTATTTTCGAGTAAAGAGAAGTAGCTCGACAGAGGATATGCTAAATCTTCTGAGGTTCCTCTAAGCAGTAAAATATTATAAAAATTACAATAATTGATTCACTGCATTATTATTATCGTTATTAATTCCAGGACAACGAGCTTTTAGAAGGCTCAGCGAATAGCAGGTTTCCTTTTGGAGAAAGGAAACAAATGAACTGATATTTCTATTAATTCATCTTGTTCCTTGGGGATTGCAACTTATTGTACTGTATCTCCTTTATCTCTATAAAAGGAAGAAAAACAAAACGGGTCTGAGAAACGCCAAGTGGTGATAAATAATTATATTAACGCTGAAAAAAAAAAGACATAAAATGCCACCTTCAGAAGATATACCAACCCCAAAACAAAGATGCCTTGTCTTGGAAAAATTTTGTACAAAGATAGCTAATCTCCCTGGTAGTTATCGATAGTCTTAATATTCCCATACTTTTTATCCATTTTACTTTTTTTTGTTCCTTGGAATATCCTGTATCAGTCCTGTCCAACTTTGTGCTATGATGGAAACGTTCTACAATCTGCACAATCCAATATGGTAGCCACTAGTTACACGTGGCAGCTAAACACTTGAAATGTGGCAAGTCCAACTGAGAAACTGAAATTTTAATTTAATTTAACTTTAATTAATTTAAATTTAAATACCTTTAAATGCAGATATACTTTTTTTCCCTTAACTGAGTTGAGATTCATCAAAACATATTATTTCGTCAGGAGGTTGTTTGGGAAAAACAGGAATGAGGGGCCAGGAAAATGATACCATACTTGAAACACACAACAGCAGGTC